TTTCCGTCCATTTGCGCGGTGCTAATAATATCGCTCGGCGAAAACCCCCCAAAAATAATTATTGAATTACGGCGCGGTGCTAATGATAACGCCGGGGGGTTCCTTAATTGCTTCTCCGGGTTATTTGGGGACCCTCTGGGGGCGGGGAGGCGATCTTTGGCAACAGGAGGAGGAAGGAGCAAAAGACAACGGGAGGAGGAGAAGAGGAAGAAGAAGACGAACCAGCATATGGATTGGGGTGTAAGAAGGAGACGACTCTCGAAGCTAACTTGGAGCAATGCTGGAAGCCTTTTTGGGCCATAGTGGGGCCTTCTTGGGGCCGTCTCGGGCCCCATGGTTCAAAAAGGGGGGGAATAAATCTCAGGTGCCCCTCCAGAGGCTGAAAAGTGGCGCCTTGGGGCCGTCGCGGGGCGCTCGTGGGCACCTCTTGGGCGCTCAGGGGGCCGCCTGGGGCCCCTCTTGGTGCTCTCTTGGGCCATCTTGGGGGCCATCCTGAGGACTCAAAGCCAGTCAGAAGCGAAAAGGCGAGAAGGCACAAGACATTGATTTCCCGATGGTGTGTGAAGAATTATGGCATCTTGGAAGGGTCCTGAGGGGGGCTCCGAGAGCACAGCATACCATCCTAAGCAATCTCCAGGTACCTTGGGCCATCTTGGAGGCCATCTTGAGCTCTCTGAGGCCATCTTTCCCCAATCAGTGCTTGCACTGAAGGTGTCCTAGAGGAAGTTGAAAGATTTGGCGAAAGTTTCCCGCCGATTTTGGTAGCAGGCTGGGTTCCCAGGTTCCCGGTTCCGGGTTCTCGGGTTCCCGGTTATTGGTTCTTGGCCGATTTCGGTGGGTTTGGGGTTCCCGGGCTCCCAGGTTCCCGGTCGATCTCTTCAGCGAAAATCATCCATTGATTGGGTTTTTTTCCCTCGAGTGTAATTGAAAGATTTGGCGAAAGTTTCCCGCCGATTTTGGTAGCCGGCTGGGTTCCAGCCTCCCGGTTCCCCGGTTCCTGGTTATTGGTTCTGGACCGATTTCGGTGGGTTCCAGGCTCCCGGGTTTTTGGTCTTTTTCCTTATCGATCTCTTTATCGATCCCATTTTAAACCATCCATTGATTGCGGTGTTTCTCTGGTGTAATGGAGACATCTTGGGCTGTGGAGGGGGTAGGTGGAGGTGTAAACCCTTGCTACGAGCAGGCGAAGGAAAGGCTTTGGAAGAGGGAAGGAAACAGCTCGTTAAACCACCTACGCCCAGAGTGCTGGTGGGAGTGGCTTACAGCTACAGCTCACCACTTATTGCAGATCCCTGGCATCATGCTCGATGTGTATGCAGTGACCGTGATACGAGCTTCACTGGGGGGGAGGGGGGGCGTCGTGGTGCGCTTCTGATCCTTGGGAGGTCCCAGGGCGGGTCACAGAGGGGGTGGTTAGACACCCTCTCTGGGGTTTGTTTTGGTTTTACGGTGCACCATTTTACACGGTCGGGGGCCCCAGGACTGTCGGGCACCAACCCTTTGGGCGGGATTCCCAGTGCAGCATTCCAGGCCCCTGGGGCTTCTCGGGCGGGGTCTGCAGAGGTGGAAGGCCCCCCTGGGGAATTGTAGGGAGGTGGCCACCTGTGCGGTCTTTCAAGGCCCTGGTGCCTCTTAGGGTACAGTCGGGGCCCTGAAGAAGGAACCCTTTTCGTTGGGGAGGGGCTCCGTGTTCCTTGATTGCTTCACAGTTTGCCTTGTGTTTTCCTTCGGTTTCCGATGGGAAATCGAAGCTCAACTTGTGGATCTACGGGGCCTCGTTCCTTATTTAGGGTTCCTTAGGTCAACGCTCCGACTGTAGATCTGCAGAGGGTGGTTGAACGCCCTTGCGTGGGCGGGATCTCGGTCTCTCAGGACGGCTCTAGATTGGATGACTCGGAGCCCCCCCCCCCCGGCGACAAGAAAGAATTTCAGAGGGGGTCCAGTCGTGGGTTTGCAGAGGGAGGAGGGTCACGAGGGAGGAGGAAAAGAATGAGGAGGGGTGTTCCCGGAAGCGGGTCAGAAGCACACCAAACACATGAACATCCATCCGCCATCCGCGAGGGTCGAGGGCACAACATTCAACAGAGGGCGAGTAGTAGGAGGAGGAGACCCAGGCCCCCGACAGAGTGATGCTCTACAACGTGGACCCCTGGAGGCCTGTACCCTGTTATCGAGACAGGCTCTGCATCCCGAGTCGCTCGAACAGCGGGACCCGCGCGCTCCCACCCGTAGGAGGCCAATGCTGACAAAAATTGTGATTGGAACTGGCGCACGTTCTGACCCAGCGAATAGAAGGTGCTCCCGCGCTGTCCAGGCTTCGACGACCTGGCGAGGGGGAGAAGGACGGGCCACTCATGGGCGGGAGCCGCAGTGCCAGAAAACAGATGTGCGCGGCGCTGCGGCGAGAGCACCACTTGGCCTTCTTTCGCGGGGCCTCGGCGAGGGACAAATATGCGCCGCGCCCAAGCAGGAACATCACGCCCGCGCGAAATCTGCACCGAGGGCGAGACCACTCGCCCGCTCGCTCGCGGCCTCGCGCCCGTCGGCTGGGGCCAGTGAAGAGTGCGCTCCGCGCGCAACAGGGAGCGCCACTGTCGGACGACATCTGCTCAGCGCTGGGGCCAGTGCTGCACCTCGCCCGCTCTCGCGCGACCCCGTTGTCGACGACTGGGCGAGTGCTGAACGCGTGCCGCGCAAGAGCGGGAGCGCAGCTCTCAGGAACACAGGGCGCGCGCCGAGGAGAGAGCGATATGCCGCTTGTTTCGCGCACGGTGCGCGCCTTGTCCAATGTCGACGTTGCCGCCAGAACGTCCACGCTGAGAGGGAACCCATCGGCTGTGCATTGGTCCCTCGCTGGGCTTTGCAAGAGGGGTCTGGAGTAAAAAGGGAACAGCAATATGTCGCTAGGGCGTCGCGGCAACTTCCCCGGGCGTTGTCGACCAGTTGCCCATATTTGGTTTTAACAAGCAGCATGTTTCTTGGGCGTGTGAGTGTGTGTCTTTTGGAGGACTGCCACACAATCCCGAGCGGGAGCCGGCATCGCAAGACCCTCGCAGGGTCGCCGGGCGGCTATCAGAATCACGAGGCTGCCTCGAGTGGGTGCCTCGTGCGTGCGCGTGTGAGAAACGGACAGCATGCATGGAAGTTCAACCGCACATCCCGGCCGTGTACAGCACGGCTCGGCCATGTGCGTCCGAACATGCAGGTCCGAACATGTTGCCAGACCAGGTAGCTCGACCGTGTAGATATGACCATGTAGCTCGACCACGTAAGAATCTCCAAAATGATTAGCCCGACCGCGTATAGCACGGCTCGAACGTTGAGGTCCGAGCACCCAGGTCCAACCATGCAGCCAGGCTTGAAGACTGGGATCATCCAGGTTCAACCATGTAATTTGACCGTGTAGAACGGACCATGTAGTTTGACCTACGGAATTCGACCATGCAGGTCCCACTACATAGATATCTTCGAGCATGTAGCACGGTGACATGGCTCCGACCAGGTAAGTCCAACCATGTAAGGGCGCGTCCGACCAGCGTCTCCCATGGAGATCCCCGCCCAGCAGGTTCCGCCCGCGCCTTTCATACGGCACGCCCCGTGCTCAAGTGATTGTCGGCTCCGTGATTTGGAGTCCAGTCGGCGGTGGCCGTCCGTCGCCGCCCACTGTAGTATGCGGCAAAGACACGTCTATTGCTCCCTTGCCGGTTGCGCTTGCAACGGCCGCTGCATTGTCCGTTCGTCGACGCGTTACGCGGGAGGTTGTCGAGCATGTATCTCGATAGTTTATTCTTCTAGGGTTCCAACACTGGCAAGAATGGATCCAGAATCTTTCCCGGGGGGGTCCCCGCAGCGGCTGACCCGCTGCTGGATGGTTGCCGTCAGTTGTTCTTTATGAAGTAGGATGTTTCTCGGGCGTTTATGAGTGAATTGCAAGGAAAGCTCGAGCGGGGGGTTCGTCATTGAGTGAATTGTGAAGAACTTTGGAGCGGGAGCAGAATTTCTTCATCATTAGTCGCAAGAGGCCCTCCCCCAGGACCCCCTCAGAACCCTTGTGTAGGACCTTCTCAGGATCCCCGCGGGGCCCTCGCAGGACGCTCTCGGGACCTTCCTGGGGCCCTTCTCGGGACCCTCTCGGGACCTTCTCGGGACCCCCTCGGGGACCTTCCCAAGACCTGCTCAGGACACCCTCGGGACCCTCCCGGGAGGCCCTTCCGCTCCAGTGTCCCGCGGGGGCGGGCCTCCGCGCTCTGCGCCCCCCAGCTCGTCTGGAGCGGCGTCGGGGTCTCCGGACGTCTTCGGACTGTTTTGTTGGCCTCTTCGGACCAGGGAGCCCCTTGGTCCTGGCATCGCTCGGACGTGTGCATTTTTTCTCGGCGAGAACCATCGAGGACCATCCTTGATCATTTGGCGAAAAAAACACGCACGAAACCGAAAAAAACACAGGGAATGGACGTCCGAGCGATGGCGAGTGGTTCGCAGTCACCCTGTGGCGGACAGCGTTGGCGCTTGACAGTTTTGCCCAGTCACGGTAGCTGATCCTCGAAACATTGGCCGCTTCTGGCGCCAGGAGGCGCCTACTGTCCGTCGCATCGCTGTATCTGTGTTTTCGTGCAGTGATGAACGTGATGGTTAAGCAAAGGATTCATCATCGAGGCGCTGTGACATGGTCCATAGTATCGCTTTTAGGGGCACATTGTTGGGATCATGTGTTGGATCGGATGGCAGGTCCCATATACAGGGCCTCGGCAGGCTGGATGGCAGAGTGGGAGCATATAGAACATAATCAGGAGGGGGAAAAACACACAGACACAATTAATCGTCGATTCCCCAGAAAAAATAGGAAAATATGGGAAACCCAGAAAATATAGGAAAATATGGGGAACAGTTTTATTTGTGTGTAGTTATGTGTGTGTCCTGGGGCCCCTTCAAATAAGACAAAAGGGTAGGGGAAGCAGTGGGCATGAGGGGGAGGGGGAGCTCCGTCACCTCGGGTTGTGCAGGGACACCTCGCTGTACTACTTGTTCAGCAACAACTACATGAACCAGGTTGGCCCGATCCCAGGTGGAGGAGGAGGAGGACAAACATCGAATACTAATAAACATATCCTGGCGAAGGTCCCAACCATATGCAGCATCGTTTGAAGATCCTGAAGCATGCCAAAGTATTATTCTCGGGACTCCAGCGCCACGGTTCAACCGAATTGTTGCGCCTCGACGATCCTGAATCGTTCCAGAACGCCGTTCCAGCACCGCGAATCAACATAATTGCTGCACCCTCATAATCCCGAATATTTCCAAAACGCCATTTCTGGTACGTTGACCATGAGGATCCGCGAAACTCTTGCAATGGTCAAAGATGAATGTGCGCGGCGCTAAGGCGAGAGCCACATTTGAAAAGAACCGCCCTCAATCCGTGAAACCCCTTGCAATGGTCAAAGATGAATGTGCGCGGCGCTAAGGCGAGAGCCACATTTTGAAAAGGAACCGCCCTCAATCCGTGAAATTCTTGAAATTGGTTAAGATAGTCACATTTTGAAAACGACCAGCCCTCCATCTGTGAAACTGTTGCCAGCTGTTCCGCTTCAGGGTCATACGTGGTGGGGAGGTCTCGGGCGAAGCACCGGGCCCGCCCTTTTGACCGGCCTCGGGGTGCGGCAGGGAGGAGTTATTTATAAGGAGAAGGAATGGAGGAGGAGGGGGAGGAGGAGGAGGAGGAGGAGGAAGCGGGGCGCTGCTGATTCACAAGGAGGGCCCAATTCAACACAGGATGGTTGGGAAGTGCTGATTAGCGCTGGCCGAAACAAGTCGATCTGAATCAACTTCGGGATGCAATGGTCGGCGTTTGGGGGGAACGCGCCGATTTCGACGCGATTTGGGGCCCCAGAGAGAGGCCCCAACTCCTCGTGCTGCAAGCTCTCGCCTGAGCGAGCAGCGCCACCGTCGACAGTCCCTGTCCGCGCGCGCATGTACTTGTTCGGAAATCCCCGCCACCACATGGCTCCTTCAGCTCGCCAGGGGAAGGGTTCAGCGCCGACCTAAGACATCCGCGCCGACCATGCTTGGGGGCTGGAGTTGGACTTGGAGATCCCGGATTTGGTACGTTTTTCGCCCTGTGGGGGCCTCTGGGAGGCTTCTCGCCACCACGGCTGGACCCGCTTCGAAATCCTTGTCAAAGCTCACCCCTGGAGAGGTCCACAGGTCAGTTTTTGAAGGAGGAGGAGGAGGAGGAATAGAAGAAAGAGGAGGAGCGAGGTGGAGGACAAATTGAGGAAGAACAAAACGAAGGAGAGAACAGAGGATGAGGAAAGGAGGAGGGAAAGAGGAGAAGGAAAGGAGGAGGAGGAAGACGAGGGAGCAAGGGGGTGGGGAGGTGAAACAAGGGACGTTGTGAGAGAGGGCGGGGGAGGGCAAGGGGAGGAGAGGAGTGACAGCGAGAGGAACAGAGAGGGAGACATCGAGGGAGAGGGAGGGAGGGGAGTGGGAAGGAGTATAGGAATGAGAGGAGGAGGAGGAGGAGGTGGAGGAGGAGGAGGAGGTGGGAAGGGGAGGGGTCGATTGGGATTGCAAAAAAAGAGGACCTCACCCTCCCTCCTTTTCGCTTCCCCCCCGCCCACACCTTTCCTCCCCTCCCCCCCTTGCCCTCGCCGTCCCTCCATATTGAGAAGGCATCACGGCCGGTGCCGCCGACCCTGAAGGGGGACGCGCCGCCCCCGCTATGTTTCTGCCTCGTCTCTCTGCTACCCTTTTTCTTTGAAGTTCAGAATCGCGTTTTCGGGGGCGTCTTCGGGGGTCTCGCGCGCATCGCGGGCCGTCTGGAAGCCATCGTGGCCGTCGCGGACCGATCGTTCGACGACTCGAAGCCCTCCGGGGCACTTTGCGCCCGGGGGCCCCCATGGGCCGCCCCGCGCGCGAAGTGGAAATGCTGCGAGGCAGTCGCCGGAGATCTTCGCACGCCTCTGGCCCGTTGGGCCAGCGATTTTCCCATTGGGAAGCATGTCCAGCGCGCTATGGGGCGCGCGACGAACGGGCGGGCCAATTTCGACGACTCCTTCTCTCCTCCTCTCCTAGACTGCTGCTTCCCATATTTTCCTCTTCCCGCTGCTGCTTCTGGCCCTCCTGCTGCTGCTGCCGCTCCCTCCTCTTTCTCTTTCCCTTACGGATGTTGCGCGGGCGCGCCTGCTGGGCATGCTGGCGCGCCGGGCGGGCCCGCGATTCTGCGCCCGCGATTTCGGCCGCGACTGCGCCCGCGATTTCGGGCGCGATTTTGCCCCCGATTTGCGGCCGCGATTCCGCGCCCCCTGGCAATGCCCCACGAAACAACCCACGATTCGGACGTCCCTCATGGATTGAATTGCAAGAAACAGCTTGGTCAAAAGAGCGTGCCTCCGCGGAAGGGCGCCGCGGAAAGGCGGCGGGGGGGTCGAGGAGGGGGCCAGGGGCTCCCCTGGGGACCCCCGCTCGGTTGGAGAGGATGCCCTCGCGGTGGGCTGCGCTGCCTTGCGCACCGGGTTCGCGATTGCGCCGCCGCGCCCGCGGCCGCTGAGGCTTCGAAGCCGACGCTTGCCGTTAGGACCCTCTCCTCCGCCACCAGCGCAGCCGCGCGCCACGGCCCCCAGTGGGCGCCACGCCCCAGGATCGGAGTTTGCTCCGGCGCCCCGCCAATTCCCCACGCGGCGCTCGCGCTCGAGCGTTTGTTCTTCATGTGGGGTCTCCAAAGTGGCCTTTCCTCGTGGTCCGTCAGTCCCACGCCGGCGCGTTCCATCATGAATCAGCTTGGGAGGTGCTTCTTCCGCGCAAGCTATCGGCCGCGCGGCCGGGGCAGCGCCTGGTTTTACGACGGCTGCGCGCGCGCCGATTACGTCTGCGCTTCGACGGCCGCGAGCGTCGAGATTCGCGCGGACGCCATGCCCAACGACCGCGCAACGGAACGTCATCGCGGCGATGAGTTCCATAGCGGTCACGTGGCGGCCGGGCTCGGGCGCCGCGTTGGCCGCGCCTCCGCGGCGCGCCTGGCGCGATTCAATGGTGGGAACAGGCGGCGCGCGGCCATTTGATGGCGCGCGGGCGTTCCACGATGGTTCCCCGCGGCCCAGGGCGAGGCAAGTAACGCGTTGGATATTTGTCCATTTTGAATTTGTCGCGGTTCCTTGGGGCCCTGCTTGGCAAAGACTTCTTAGAAACCATGTAGGGGCCGGTAGAAGCCGTTCAGAAGCCACGTAGAAACCGCGTATTTTCCACATAGCAGCCGCTGCGCACCTAAAAGAATTTCAAATCTTCCGTTATTGGACTCGACGGGTATTTGCGCAACAAAATCGCAGTGTCTAAGCGGTTTCTACCGGATCCTACGTGGTTCCTACGACGCTGCCGCGACAGCGACGCCACGGGGCGTTCCCGCGCTGGTTGGGCCGAGTCGCGGGGGGGGCAACTTGCGCGCGCAAGTCGCTGCTTCTCGAGCGATTCGCGAAATGCTTCTGCCCGTTCAAGCTGCGCTGCCAGTTCGCGGCGCCCAGCGAAGGGCCCGGGGCGCGCGTTAAAAACGACCGCGCAGGATTTAGCCGCCGGGCTGTACATACACACCCTTGCACTTTTCACACTCACGCGGGGTCGCTGACAGCGCGGACACTCGCTTGCGGGGCACAATAGTTTCTGACCGCGCCGCCAAAGGAAGATTGCTCCATCCGGCAAGCGGTCGGAAAAGGAAAGCAACGGCGCACCCATGCGACGGTAGCCAGATCTGCCACCACGCCAGGACGAGCGCGCGGCCCGCGCCACCCCCTTCCCCCCAGCGATGCAAATCTGAGCAAAGAAGCGACGCGACGATATCACCGATGAGGTCCATTGCCGTCGTCTCCTGTCGGTTTCGTCAGCTTCGCATCAGGGCGGGCGGGGCGGCGCCTGCGCGGCGCTCGTTTCTGCGGCTCCCAAGATATGGTCAAAACTATAGTACCGCCCGTGCGGACTTCTCGGGGGAGCATTCGGGCGTCGCGCTTTTGTGCACTTGGTCAACATATCATCGCGCGCGCGGACAGCCATTGGTTTCGCACACACTGGTGTCTTTTGACAAAGCTGGGGCCACTTTGGCGTTGGGTTTGCGAGCCAGAGGCGAGACCGTCAAGACGGGGTGCGACCAGGGGGTGGTGGTCTGTTTCGAGGTCGCGCGGGCCATCCAGAAGGCGACGGTCCAGACTGCGCACGACGGCGACCTGATCTCCCCCCTGTCGGCGGCCACCTTCAGGAAACGCTGGCGGGAGGCCCTGAAAGCCCTGGACGTGGAGCGGTGCGGACCTCCGCACGCGCTGCAGCACTCAGGCGCAGCGGACTTCGTCGAGTCGGATCAGACGCCGGAGGCCACGAGACGGGGAGGCACATGGAAGTCGTCGACAGCCGTCCAAAGCTACACCAAGCAGTACGGGCTCGTGCGACACCGAGCTCGAACAGGCGGCTCCATCAACGAGAAGGGTGCCAAGTTCTGGGCGGACCCAGCTGGAGAGCTCCGGCGAATGCCGCAGGACGCACCGACTCGAGGCCATGGGGAGCCACGTGCAGCGCCGATCCACGAGCTCGGACGCTTGCGACGGCCTGGCGACATGGAACTCTTCGCCTCGGGCTCGGTGGCAGGCAGTGGGGCGCCCGAGGAGCCACGACAGCCCGACGCCGGCGCGCGCGGCAAGCGCCAGAACCGCGAGCGGAGAAGCTGCTTACGCCAGGCAGGAGAAATTCGTTTTTTCTCTCAGGGCTGGCGCTGCTCAGGGTCCTGGCGAGTCCGAGGCCTCGCGCGGCACAGATAGTTGCCGACCTCGGCCTCAGCACCTTTCGCCAGTGGGGCCGACCTCATCACGCGACGACAAAAATGATGTGTGGATCATCGAGTGCATCTGGTTGTTCTGTACAAATAGCGGAGGGCCCACATTCGAATGACAGCATCCGGTATCGCGCCATTGCCAGTATGTGTTGTCTTCTCACCAATGGGTGTTGCTCAGGGCCTTGGCGAATCCGAGGCTTCGCGTGGCACAGAGAGTTGCCGATCTCGGCCTCAGCACCTTTCGCCAGTGGAGCTGGCCTTATCATGCGACGAGGAAAATGAATCTGGTTGGATCATCGTGTGCATATGATTGTTTTCTGTAAGTAGCGGAGGGCCCAAATTCGCAAGACAATATCCGGCATCGCGGCGTTTCCGCTAGGGACGCGATCCATTAAGTGTGGGAAACAATCATATCAGTGCTTAGGTCGATCTGTATAGGAGCTTGGAGAGTGCAAGGTAAGCTGGCCCCCCATCGACCCCCCGTACGGCATCCGTGCTCGGGCCCTGTCTCTGCGTTGCGTAATCGCGGGGGGGTGGGGTGCAGACTACCCACCTACAGCCAAGACGCTGAAATCAGGAACAGTTTGGATTCGGAAGGGGCTCGATGTTCCTTACGTCCTTCCGTGGTTGTTCCTCTAGCCCTTCTCGTGCACCCAGGCTTTTTCGAAGCCGCAGAGGGGTTTCGTTCCTTATTTAGCTCCACATGGGCCCAGGATTGGTGTGCACGCCCTCCTGGCTACGCCAGGAGGGCGTGTCCACCGATGTTGGGCCAAGTGTCACCCTGGCCTGTGCATGGTCGCAGGTGCCCAGTCGGCGTCATTCTTCGATCGCGGTCCTGACCTTCGGGTGCTCGTCGTCCGCTCTGAACGTGCACGAGTGTGCCTCCTCGCGTGCCGCGGCAGCCGCTGCATGGGGCCTCGGCCGAGCGCGTGCAGGCGCGCGCGCATTTGACAACATTCGTAGGGTGGTGTGCTGCCACGCGCCAAGGCCAGCGCCGCCGACCTAGAAGGGGGACGACGACATTGGCGGCGGCGACGACGACGCCGACGCTCTGGAGCATTCCTTGAGGCTCTCGTGGGAGCACGCGGGGCTATGTACGCGGACCTTTGGGGGGACTTCGTGGGAATCTCCGTGGCCATTTGGAGCCGCCTCGGCAAACAGTGCGTCCAGCGCTCACCTCTCATATCGTTCCTCCTGTTGTCCTTCCTCCTCCTTTGCTGAAATCTGCGCCCAGCTCATCTCGACGCAGTTCGACTGGAGCGACGAAGAGATCTTGGGATATTACATCAGCTTCGTCAAGTCGTTGGCTCCTGGATTCGAACAGGAGGAACAGCAGAGGCAGCAGAGCACCAATGATACGGGACAATGATGGAAAGGAGAAGGATAAGAGAGAGAGAGAGAGATGGAGGAGGTTAGGGGCGGGATGGCTTCCGCTCATAAGTGACGTAGCTCGTTGAAGTCTAGCTGCGAGCGCCGGGACTGCAGTTCTCTGATACATCTGAGCCTCGAATTGCGACTCTGTGAGCAGGAGGAGAAGGAAGACGACGACGACGAAAAGATAATGTCAATCAGCTTGAAGGGAGGAACGCGTCCCCAGCGCATCGGGATCATACACGCAAGGATTCCCTCATACAAAGCCTTCGTTTCTCTTACACTCAAGAACCATCCTCGATCGATCCTGCGCTCGTGTCCTCCTCCCTCCTCTTCTTCACGCGCACCAGCCATGCTGGTCAGTTTCAGTGCTCCCCCAGGTCCTGACCCCCAGACTTTCCTGGAGGCCTCTGAAGGCCCCCAGAGCCTTCCGAGGACCCCAAACTGGCAATAACATACAACATCAGATCTATCCTCGAGCGGTATGGGGGCAGAACTTAGCAGTCCTCTTCCTCCTCCTCCTCATCGTCCTCCTCATCCTCCTTTGTTGCCGCTGGTGTGGATAGTGCTGCTCCTGCCGGCCTTCGTCGAGTGCTCGATGGCGGTTCCGATGCCTAGGCTGCCCCTGGGGCGCCGCACCTTCGTCGCTCCGATCTGCTCCAACTCAGATTCTGCAGTCTGGCTCTCGCTGGTCTGGTCGACGAACTTGTGCGCCGTGCTGTCGCGCCTCATGACGATGCCCGTGCTGTTCCGCTGCCTGAAGTGGCGTCCGCAGCCCATCATGCAGCTCGCGCCGTCCAACAACATGGAGCTGACGACCACGGGTGGGGTATCTGCTGGGACTACGAGCGCCGACAGTGGAATGGATCGGCAGGCCCTGCCGCTCATGCTCATCCCCACGATCACGTCCTGCCTGATGCCGCCGCCGGTGGCACACAACCCCCTCCCGCCGAACGAGTCCCGCATCACGCTGCCGTTGGTGGCGAACGTCTCCATCCTGAAGGTCCCGTCCTGCATGACGTTGCCGCCGGTGGCGACGGATTGGCTGACGCAGCACATCCCGGAGAAGCTCTGCATGCTGATGCACGCGCCGTTCCGCCGCCTAGCGTGGCTGCCGCTGCACGTCGGGCCCCTGGGGCCACCCGCCAATGTGGCCCTGAGTCCACCGTCTGGCTCGCTCCACCCCGACCGTCCCCGTCTTGGTGCCCTTCGCTTCGCTCGTCTCCTGCCCGTCCTCCCACCGCGTCGCTTCCGCCACCCATCACTGCTTGTCCCGCGTTCCCGAATGTTGACATCAACGTACGCCCGAAGGTTGCGGCCAGAGCCATATATTGCAGCGCAGCAGAATATTAGGCGTAGCTGCGGGTGGGAGCGAGCGGAATCATCATCTGCCCTCGTCTCGCTTCTTGTCCGTGTGCCCTCGTCTTTTCTCGTTCCTCCTCCTCCTCCTCCTCCTCCTCCTCCTCCTCCTCCTCCGCCTCCTCCCCCCTCAGTGCCAGCCAGGTCAGGATACCACAGGCGCCATGCTTGCAGTCCATCCAGCGCGCACGAAGGCGGAGCGGTACAAAGATTCACCTCCCACGGTGGCCACGCCATCACACGCAGGGGGTCAGGAGGAGGCGGCCAACCAGCGATGCCACAGTCGGCACGGGAGGTTCGCGCCGCGTCGACGCGACGGCAACCCCAGCGCGGGCGTTCAAGGTTGAACGCCGCTTGTTGCCCGGAATCGGCCGACGCATCGAACGACTTGCGCCATCGGAAAGCCACAATCGTTCAAGGTTGAAGGATCCACGCAGCGTCAGAAACCAAAGCCGGCGCCACCGCGACACGCGCTTGCCGTGCGTCAGATGAGAAATTGGCCTGCCAGCAGGTGCTCCACAAAAACGGCATCCACCCACAGATCTGGGGACCCACACAAGCCCTGGGGCACCTTACGGCAGGCAGGTCACAGGCCATCCCCGGGGGGCAGCATTTGGCCCTGGACCCCCCCCCAAAAAACACCCCACCCCCCCAGCAGGGGAGGCAGAAACGGAAGGGGCTTCTCCCCGACTTGACTACGGTTTTCATTGTCCTTGCTCCTCAGTTTCGCTGGATCTGGCGACGACGACGACGACGGCGGCGGCGGCGACGACGAAGACGACAGCTTGCTCCACGTGCCGAAGGGTCGGCGGATTTCGCATGGTAAGATTTCCTATCGTGCGCGTATGCTGTCAGTCCTGCCTCCCTCCCTGCGCAGATTGCCCGTTGTGGATGATGACTCGTCTGTGCTATTTCTAGGGCGAGACAGGAGGGTCTCTTCTCCTGGGGCTCCAGGCAGCTTTACATTGGCCAGTCGGAGGCAACATAACATTGAACTACTGTGAAATGTTCTGGTGGCCCAGTCAAAATCAAATTGTCTGGTGAGAGGAGGCGGCCAGCCAGTGAGAGGAGCCGCCTCCCACGGTCAGGCTCTCAGGCTCAACAGGGAGACGATCAAATTTTTCTTCAACGAGAACTCTCAGCAGTTCCCGCTCTACGTCGAGGAGGGTCACGGGCGAGGAACATCGTGAGCGACGAACATCGCGAGCCAAAATTGTAGGATCTACGTTTTCTCTTTGTTGGTAGCGCCTGGAGGCCCTTTTCGAGCCTCGGTGCCGTCAAACGTTGAGATATCTGGAGTGAAAGGTTGGTCCGGGCGGACCCCGGGAGGAGTCCGGGGACCGAGTTCGAGCGGACTTCATCGGACATCATATCCGAAAGAGCGCGTGTTGTGGACGCTGGGGAGGGGAAGAGATTGAGGGGGCCCTCTCTCAAGGAAGGGGGGTTCTTACCAGGAGGGGGAGGACCCCCCCCTGAATTGCAGGGGAGGGGGGAGTTCGGTTCGAATTGGGGGGGGCCTTTCTCAAGGGGGGCGGGGGCGGGGGTGGTTTGAACCGGCCCCCCCCCTTTGCCCTCCTTTTATGGGGGGAGGGGGATTCGAAGCCCCCACCCCTGAATTGAAGGCGGGGGATCGAGCCGAGCCCCCCCCTCCCCCTGAATTGCAAGTAGGGGGGGTGTCGACCTACCCGTCCGTGCAAGACTGCCCGACGGGCGCCAGAAAACCATTTGCAGGCCCCACGACGCTTACAAGAAGTGCCCCATTGCCCATAGAGCAGACGCTCCCAAGATGGCCTGGGAGTCGCGCCAAGACAGGCCCCGCAGAGCAGAAATCGTTCAGCAGTTATGTTTGCGTGTGTTTAGCGCTGTGTTGCTTCGCACGCTTTTCGGCATCAAATGGCTTTCGGAGCGCTTCAGTGTGGCCCGAGCTGGCCGAAGAGCTCCAAGTTCCGCCCGAAGAGAGCCCCAAAACGCGCCAATAGGATCTTCGGGGCGCTTCAAAACAATCCAGGATTGTACCCATATGGGCCCGAGACGACCCCATAGAGCCCCGAAAGGCCCAAAACGGCCACCCACACGGCTCGTAGCAATGAGGGGCAAGGGGCACAGCGTGAAGCGCGAATGCAATCTTGCATGAAAGTCTAAGTGCATCGCATCGGAAGTATCCCATTGATAGCACTGCATAAATTTCACCGCATGTATTGCACCCTGTCGCATGCACCGCACCAGTTGCACTCCATACGCTTGCCCTTTCTGTGTTATACGGATGACCCCGGGAGAGCTTTCGGATGAGATGGAAAGGCGCCCTTTTGCTTTCTACCAGCGCAGCCGCGAGTCTGCACGAAGTTTCCGGCGCTCGCATGGGCCGCGGGCCCAAGCTCTGCCAGCATGGTTCGGGGGCCCGGCCCGGCCCAGGCCGTGCGCTTCTTCGGCCACCGCGATCAGATGGTCCGCACCGCCGTGCGCACGCTGACGCTCCAGGCGGCACCTGGGTGGTTGGCTCCCCCTCCTTCCACTGCTCTTTTTCTCTCTCTCTCTCTCTCTCTCTCTCTCTCTCTCTCTCTCTCTCTATATATATATATATATGTGTATATATATACATAATTCGCTCTTTCTCTCCTGCTCCCTCCTCCCTCCTCTTCCCTCCTCCTCCTCCTCCTCCTCCTCCTCCTCCTCCTCTTCCTCCTCCTCCTCCTCCTCCTCCTCCTCCTCCTCCTCCTCTTCCGGCACTCGAGGGGACCTCGGAGGGGCCAGACTTTCTAGCTGAATTCAATGGCAGTTTTTGCAACGTGTGTAAATGGGAGGCCAGGGACTTGTTGTTAAGAATTGATGTATTTGAAATCAGGTCGAGAGGACTAGCTAGATCCATTCCTCCTCCTGGCAAGGGACCCGCGGTCGAGGAGGGAATCCCCAACCCTCCCACGCCAGAAGCCCTTGCGCCAGGAGTGCCAGGATTTGTTTGCCCACTGCGGTGAGAGCGTCATGAACAAAAAACATGGTGGCACATTGTGTCAAGGTTTGCGCCAAAGGGCGCAGCGACACGGAGGCGATTCTCAGAGAGGTCTGTGCCACTGACGGAATTCCCCACGTAGCCACCTTGTCGAACTATTGCACTTTATGCCATGACAATTTTGCAGGTCGAGCCACAGTCCAGAGGCACCTGGCTGCAGCGGCCAGGAACAAAAGGTGTATATCTGATTTTAGCGTACGAGCTCATCCCAAGCAACCCCACACACACACACACACACACACACACACACACACACACACACACACACAAACACACACACACACACACACTCACAAACACATTGTCCGTTGTGCTTGTTTGTTGCTCAGACGCCAGATCACCTGGACCCGCATTCGGCGAAGACACACGTGGTACCTCGGATCCAGCAGCACATCATTCATTTGGATGTCGACGTGGCTCGGTGCAGTGCAGCAGATAGACGGCGACCAACAGGCTCCTCTCCCGAAGAAGCCGAACGAAGGAGCAAGGCGAGGCACGGACACTCAGGAGCGGAAGCTGTTACTGCAGATGGAGGCTGGCATAGGGAACGAGAGGCGCCAGACATGCACTGCAAAGGCCCAGCCGGCCACCCTGTTGTTTGGCCATCAGGGAGGCGACCACCAAGTACGAGACACTGGTCAGACAAGCAGGGGCAGGCCACGAGTACGGCCCGCCACACTATCACGCAGCAGGCGCACTTCTCTCGTGTGTCAGCGGCAGCAACATGGACGGCAAGGGCGACGAGATCAGATGCATCTTCTCGGCGCTCAAGAGGCTCGACGAGGCAAGAAAGGCCGCATCCCCGTCAGAGTTCGAGGACTGGTGCGTCACTTGCCGAGCAGGAGAAATGCAGCATAAACCAGGTGTGGCACCGAGAGCGAGACTCGGATTCAACTTCGTGGGGAGCTCGCCCGTGGCGGCCAACCAGAACCAGGAATCGGAGCTGGCGAAGCTGAAGTTCCACCCGCTAAAGCTGAACACGAATGGAGGATACACGTGGGTGAGCAACCGCCGCCGCCTCGTCACACTGTGCCCCCGAACGATGGGCATGCATAATCTCACAGGGAAGGCACCCGTGGGAGGGCTCGCGTACGCAGTGAGGGCGGAATGAAAGCAGTTGGCGAGCGCAGTAGAGATGGAGAAGGAGGAGGAGTTGGCAGCCAGACCGCGCAGCACATCCCTCCCTCTCCCCCCCTTTTTGTCTATGAGGTTCCATTGCTCTCCTACCCCCGCCCCCTCCGCACCACAACCCAGGAGGACAAGTTGGTGCCCCTCAGAACCAGAGCCAGACGCTGAGAATTAGCTCGCCAATAGAGCGGTTCAGTACCCCCGTGCCGCGGCACCACTGCTGGCGTCGAGCGCGCCCCGAGCAGCGGCATCAGGCTTTGCGCTCCCACTTTGGAGTCCCAGGCCCCTGGTAAATACATAAGTCCAGGCTCTGCGGCGCCCACAAGTCCCACAAGTAGATTGCTCTGGCTAACCGATATGGACATCGATGCAGAGAACAGCAGCAGCAGCTCCTCCCCCTCCTCCTCATCATCAACATCCTCCTTCTCCTCCTCCTCCTCCCCCTCCCCCTCCTACTCCTCGTCGTCCTCCTCCTCCTCCTCCTCCTCCTACTCCTACTACTACTACTACTACTACTACTACTACTACTACTACTACTACTACTACTACTACTACTACTACTACTACTACTACTACTACTACTACTACTACTACTACTACTACTACTACTACTACTACTACTACTACTACTACTACTACTACTACTACTACTACTACTACTACTACTACTACTACTACTACTACTACTACTACTACTACTACTACTACTACTACTACTACTACTACTACTACTACTACTACTACTACTACTACTACGACGACTACTACTACTACGACGACGACTACTACTGCTGCTACTACTACTACTACTACTACTACTACTACGACTACTACTACTACTACTACTTCTGCTGCTACTACTACTACTACTACTACTACTACTACGACTAACTACCACTACTTCCGCAAACCACTACTATACTACTACTACTCCTACTACTACTCTACTACTACTAACTACTACCTATTACGAACTACTACTACTACTACTACTACTACTACTACTACTACTGCTACTACTAGCTACTCTACACTACTACTACTACTAATAGTACTACTATTACTAACCACTACTACTACTACTACTACTACTACTACTACTACTACTTGCACTCCTACTACTACTACTACTACTACCTACTACTACTGACTACGCTACGGCGACTACTACTACTACTACTAGCTACTACTAATACTACTACTACTACTACTAACTTACTTACTACGACTACTACCACTCCTACTCCCATGTTATTACTACTCACACAAAAATAAAACTACTACAACTACTACTACTACTACTACTACTAATTCTACTACTACTACTACTACTACTACTACTACTACTACTACTACTACTACTACTACTACTACTACTACTACGACTACTACTACTATTACTACGACGACGAGGGCGGCGACGACGACGACGACGACTACTACTATTGTTACTACTACTACTACTACTACTACTACTACTACTACTACTACTACTACTACTACTACTACTACGACTACTAGGCCGACTACTACTACCACTACTACTGCTACTACTTCTGCTACTGCTACTACTACTACTATTACTACTACTACTACTACTACTGCTACTGCTACTACTACTACTACTACGGCTACGACTACTACTAGTTCTACTACTACTACTACTACGACGACGGCGACTACTACTACTATCACTACTGCTACTACTACTACTACTACTACTACTACTACTACTACTACGACTACCACTACCAATACGACTACTAGTACTACTACTACTACTACTCCTACTACTACTACGACTACAACTACAACTACAACTATTCCTACCACTACTACTACTACTACTACTACTACTACTACTACTAC